AGCCAAGTAGCATCAGGGAGGAAGTGCCTGCCCCACAAAACAACAGGCAGACTTTCCTGCAAGGTGAAGGAAGCGAGATAAGGAGCTCTGCAAGCCGGCCCGTATCACTGTGTGGAGATCTCCTGCTCTCTCTTGTGCACTGTGGCTCTTTTTTCTGTGGCCTTGTAACCTGGGCCCAGTACCGCTCTTGGGAACAAATTGTGAAGGAAGGAGACAAAACAAAGGCGAGATGATAAAAACTGCCATGAAAGGTTAAATTCCCATGATTCTCTGTGGCTGTTTAATGGGTTTCTATGATATAAACAGACCTTTGGCTTTGCCTGCTGGGCAAGTGACCTCCAGCTAAATGAGTTTAGACAGTTTTTCCTAATAAGAAATGTTCCTTTTTCCCATACTCCTCAGAACCCCACCCAACATATAGAGACCCCCCCCCCAAACTGACAGGTATTATCAGCTGTACACACATGCCAATGTGGCCACATGATATGGTCTGTCAAAAAGTGCACAGCTCTCCCATTTGTTCACTTAACAAACATTTACTGAGGAGACTGTTCATTAGACGTATCGGTTACAGCAGGGAAAAGAACTGGCTGTTGTCCTTGAGCTGCTCACAGCCCAATGAGCAGACAGGTGTTCTGACCTGATGAGCTAAGAGCTGTAGAAGAAACCCACAAAGAATTATGGAGGACAGAGTGTCTAAAATTTTCTGCAGAAAAGGTAACATGAGCTAAGATATTTGTCTCTGTAAATGAATTCGTTTTCTCCATCTGAAAAATAGACTTAATAGTACTTCTCTCACATGGCCAACATGAAAATGAAGTAGTGGTAAAGGCCTTTACATAGTAAGGGCTAATTATGTTAGTCATTCAGATGAGTATCAGCAGCATTATTAAATGAGTCCCCAATTAGAGGCAGAAATGGATAGATAGACGAACTTATGTAATGATGGCATTTATTCATTTACTAAAACCAAGTTCCTGACTTTGTTGCTAGTGTCGTTTGGTTGTTAGGTGACAGCCTCCTACTGGCCGAAAATGGAATTGCACCTCTACTCTATTAGCCACTGTTTAATTCCAGGAGGAATTCCAGGAAGAAGAGCTATGCACCTGAGCTGTGAAGATGAACACTGGGAAACTCAAATCTGGGAGATGAATCCATGCAACAGTGGAGATAGCATGGGGAGATGATGAAGAGGATTGTGAGGTGCCTTATCCTTGAATAGGACTTTGGTGGTCAATTATAGCTTCCAACACCTCTGAACATCTTCTTGATGTATTCAAAGAAGTTTTTTGAGAATGATTTTTGCTCTTCCCAGGCCGGCTAAAAAACAAACAAAATTCATTTCCCTGCAATTCACTCTGGCGTAAGCTTGACAGGAAAACTGGTTCAACGAGCATTCATCATTACCTCCTAATCATGAAAACGCAGCACATTCCAGAGACCACAGGGGAAGAAAATCAGTATCTACAGCAGATATCCAATAGAACTTTCTGTGATGATGAGAATATGCTGAAGCTCTGCTCTGTCCAATATGGCAGTCACTGGCCACATGCCGCTAATGAGCTTTTAGAGGTGGATCAGCTGAATGAACAAATATACTTTTAATTGAGCTTGATTCAGTGAAATACAGTCAACTAGTTGGACACCATATTGGACACCACAGACACAAACGCACTGATCACAAACACTTTGTCTGGTCTATTCTAGAGTATCAGCATCTTCCACAAATCGGGCCCACCTTGGGGCAGTGTGCAAGGTGCAAACCCTTGCTGCCTCCTCTTATTCCTCCCACTCTCTACCCATCCCCACAGGATCCACAATTCAAGACCTTCCCGAATGTTCAGCCAGAGGTCTTGGTAACCCCAAGGAGGAGATCTCTTTTGCTCCAGACAATTTCATCAGCTGCCCCAATCTACTCAAAGAATCCCGTCCATTCACGATGTCTCTGAAAGCTCAGAAACATCCATTGCTCTGACTCCATTGCTAAGACAATGTCTTTAGGACAAGAGGGGAGGCTGCTGGACTTTCCACATGTTTGGGACCATTTTGTGCCCACTGGGCTGAGCGGCCAGTGGCGGCCTCATCACAATGCTTTGCTTTTCTCTTCGAAAAGGATTGGAGACACAGCCGTGGCTGGGCCTGTGTAATCCATTCATTGCCTTCCAAGCCGGGCTCTGTAAGTTCATTCACAGAGGACGGGGAAAGGAAGCCGGGGAGGGAAGCAAACACACACACACACACAACAAACAACTCAGCCGCTCCCTGTTTGCAGGGTTAGTGTTGGGAAGAAGAGGTGGGGGATGAGCCGTGAGCGCTTGTCTGGGGGGTGACTGTGTCTGCTCCCACTGTCTGCGAAGCTCCGGCCCGCCCTTGTCGCATGAACGCTGGTCTTGGTGGGCTCTTATCTCGCTCCACTCAGCCAGCTCCTTGGGAAAAGAGGCGATCTGCGAGGGAGGGCAGAGTGGCAGCAGGCAAAGACAGGACTGGCACATGGAGCCACTTCCCTGGAACTTCCTCCCACTGGCTGCCACATCCCACCATCACTGGACTCATGGGGCTTCCCCAACTCAAGGAGCATCCCAAGTCAGCTAACTGCTCACTCAGGCCAGCTACAGAAATCAAAGGGCCAAGCATTTGGCTCCAGTGGGCAATTTGCATACGATTTGCATACATCTGCATACCCTGCTCCAGAGGCCCTCCGTCAAAGGATGTGGGATGAAATAAAATAAATTAATTAGTGCAGCCTACCATAGCCCGATATGCAGGGCCAGACACTTGTAAGCGATGTAACTGATTCTTAAAGCAATCGATGTGCTGCAGGCTGGGGCGGGGAGACAAGGGGTGGGAGAGAGCGGGCTTCTTGGCGTGGGGGTGGCGATGGGGCCCTGCAGCCGGTGTCTGAGCTGGAAGCTGGGCACTTTCCCTCTGCCCCAGCTCCTCCCTCATTCTCAAGACACCCTAGAGTTAAGCCTTGGGAGTCCGGCTCCTGTTTCCCCCGCACCAGGGTCTGAAAGGTGCTGCCCAGTCTGGAGGCCATCTCTGCAGGGAGATTTCTTTACTGGGTGTAAGGGAACATTGAGTCTCAAAGAAGACTGAGGACAGTCTTGCTTCAGCAGTTGGGAGACAATCAAGTGCCGGCTGGTGCTTTCCTGCCTCGAAGCACCTGCCCAGCTTCCCCCCCAGGACCTGTTCCAGTGGGTCTCCGTGTCTCCTCCTGCCAGCTGGGCAGGTTTTTCACGACCCCTCACTCCGATCCCACGTACGGATGGCTGAGGGAGAGGTGGGTCCCCTCTTCAGCAGTGAGCTGGAGTTAATTTCTCCCAGTTCTTCTGCCAGGTGCTAATGAGATGCTCACAGCGTGTCACAGCCAAGCGGCTCCCATATCATGTAAATACGCCTCTTAGAGATTCAGTTCATGGCTCTATTTAACATATGCCTTGACTTTCTCTAGGCCCGTTGATCCATCTAGAATAAAAACCTCATCTAAAGCTGGAGCGCTGCGGGGTGCCCGATGTCAGGTCCACACCTGTGGGGCCCCGGCTGCCGGAGAGCTGAGTGAAGGGCCCCACAGCTGATTCTAAGTGGGCGAGACCACAGTGCTAAGAGGTAGAACCATGATTTAGGTTAAAAGGAGCCTAGTTCACAGCCAACAAAACCGCAGTGACCAGCCAATGATGCTTCAAATGATGGGGAAAGAAACGCAACTTTGAAGGAACACCAAGAACTGCATGTTTCATAGTAAGACCGAGCCACGCGCAAGAAGGTGACAGAGGATAGCAATTCGAGTCAGGCCGTGAGCGGTGAGCGTGCCCAGTGGGACCCTCCGGCGTTGTGTGCCTGTGCACACGAGGCCGGTGTGGACACACCTTGAAGGAGTGAAGGGGCCAGCCTTAGATGCTTGTCAGCCAAACTGCACCTCTTCCCCTTCCTCCTCTCGTCCTGGTCTCCATTCCTGCCCCCCACCTCCACGCTCCACCAGCTTCAGCCACAGCATTCCCCTCAACTGTGTCACCCGTCAGTTTCACTAGAAGAAAGGGCGATGGAGTTTCCAAAGTGTTTTAGGTCAGGGATTGGCAAACGAGGGCCGAAAGCAGGCTATAGTCTGTTTTTGTGTAGCTTGTGTGCTAAGAAAGGAAAAAAGATTTGTGACACCTAAAAATTACGTGCAATTCAAGTCTGGGTGTCCATGAATAAAGTTTGACTGGCACCCAGCCATGCCCTCTCATGGGCACATTGTCTGTGGCTGTTTTGCGCTACAACAGCCGGTTGGATAGTTGCCCAGAGACCAGATGGTCCCCGGAGAGGAAAATATTTACTCTCTGGGCCTCACCGAAAAATTTTGCCAGTCCCCGTTTTAGATCATGGAAGGGGAGTGCTTTACCTAGCCTGCTCCCGACACGGCAAGACCCAGCTTTGCACAAACCTGACCTTGGCAAGGGAGAAAGCCAACGCCAGCTGGACCTTGTCCTGGGCCCAGCTCCCATGTGACCCAGGGCGCTCAGGCTGGACACCCAGTCCAGACACACAAGATTTGTAACAATGAATAAAAGGTCCACACTTGTGCCCAAGACCTAAAGCGAGTCCTCCATATGCCAACACTAGGACCCGGGCAGGTGGGCATCCTCCTCAGAGCTAACCTTAGGATACCAGACACCAGGAAAGCCGAAATGTAATTGAATCAAGAGGCCGATGATTCTGTGATTTGATTGAAAAGGAGGGAGCCACCCTGTCAAAAACATTCCCCACAGCGTCACGTCTGAAATTCCCTCCTTCCTTAGCTGCCACGGCTGTCCTCAGCAACCCACACGTTGACATTAGAGAGGTTTCCTGAGCATATGGAATATTAGGGACACAAAGGACGTCAACTGAGATGCAGCCTCAGGTCAGAAGAGCAGCCCTGGGAAAACGCCACTGAGGAGGGCAGGCGAGGGGCACCGGCAGAGGCCAGGGCAGCTGAGGGCTGCCCTGAGGACTCAGCAGAACTGGCGAGGGCGACTTACCCGGTACCACACGATCTCACGCATGCGGCCATCCGTCTTGAAGTTACACTTCAAGGTCACGGCGTCTCCAGCCACCACGGGTGGGAGAGGCTCAATGTTGACCGTCAGGTAGCCTACGGAAGAGAGGACAAGGGGGAGGTGAGGGCGAGAGCTGGGCGGGCCGTGGGGTGGGGAGGGGGTGGGCCCAAGGGCAGCGTGCACAGGTATGGCTGTGACCACGGTCCGAGGTCTGAGCCGTCCTGCGCCTGCCCCGCCCGCTCCTCCCTGGCTGGCACTTGCTTGGCTCCTGTGGTTCTCCCCCATCAGAAAACACTTCTTGGGGTGCAGCTTCCTGTGGAAGTAGGACCTGTAGACACCCAAAGGAAATGCCTTCGTGCATCTCTACCTCTCCTTTCAGAGAGCAGCGATACGCATTAGCTCAGAGCCCTCAGGAAGTGAACATACGAAATGGCATTTTACCCAGTGCTTCACTTCCTATTTGACTAGGCCCCTTAAACCCCGCCAACATCCTTGCAGCCGAGGGCCCACGAAGCCCACATTGAAAGATGGTGTTCTGGGGGCCCAGACTCCCCCACTTCCAATTACTCCTGGTGAAACGGGAAGAACAAACTGGGAAACTGGCCTGAACCCCCAAATCTCTCATCACAAACGTGCTAGACCCAGAGGGAGAGGCAGTTTTGACCTGAGGCCATGGTGGTGGAGGGTAATCATGGCTGATGGCCTGGGAAGGATTTAGCCCCAGATGGGGCTTCTCACCCACATGCTGCCCCCTGGGGACACCAGCCCTGTGCCCTGGAACTGGGGCTCTTACCCCAGAAGCCACCCCACTGCAGCCTCCCTACTCTGCCCAGCCTTGTGAGGCCCCGATCCACTCCTCTGCCTTGGGTTGGCAGTCCAGGTTCATCTGATCGACTTCCCGCCACCGATGTCCAGCCATTGATCGAAGGGATCAATCCAGTCTGATCGTCTTAATGACAAAACTAGCCAAGATGGGTTCAGTGATTTCAATTGTGCAGACAACCTGAGCGGATCGAGCCCAGGGGCCTGACCCCTGCCTGGAACTTAATAGCTACAACACGTGAGGAAAAAAAGAATCGACCTTGAGAGGATCAATTTGGAAGCTGGATGTCCAAATTGAGACTTCTGAGGGATGTGTACAGGGCTCCCACCCGGAGCCCAGGTTCCCAGGGACCTCAAGTCCCAGTAGCTCAAGAAGGACCCATCTCCTGTCTCCCCCTTTCCTATGTCGTTCCATCCCAAACTTTGCCCTCACCGGGGTAAGGTGGGGGCAGATTCACAGCTCAGCCACAGTGGACTGGGGAAGCTGGAAGACCCTTGCCCACCTGGACGATCAGGGTGTCCCCAAGCCTGCTGGGTTTCAAGCCATGACAAACTAGGGGGGATGGACTCCTGTGATACAGTGTGCTGGGCAAGCTGAGCCTGATCGTGAAATAGTAATACATTTCTGCTGCACCTACTGTGTCTGAGTGTTTAACACACACACACACTGTCACCACATCTTAGGAGAGCAGAGCTAGATGATACCTACTTCCACTGGGAAGCAAGAGGCAAAACAGCCTGCCAGGGCCACAGAGCTGTAAGGGGATTCAAACACAGGCCTTCTGGTTCTGGCAAAACCAGGAGGTGATATGCAGAAGTGGCCAGCAGGAGTTTCCACACCCAGCCGTGGGGAGGAAAAGGGGTGTTTCTCTAAGGCAGGAGACCAGGACCTGGCCCTACCTTCTACCATTCCCAGCCTTGGGTTGATCCCCTGGCTCACCTGTGCAGTGGGGCTGCTTTACCTGGGGGCCTCCCATTTGAAATTATAGATAAAACTTGAGCATCACCAGCCTAGATGAGTGAGAAGCTCCAGACAGAGAAGGGCCCGCTCCTAGGGAAGGAGGCGGGAAGCCACATTCTCAGATGAACTCATCTCCCAGACGAGTGTGCACGGGGGGGGAGGGGGGGCGGCAGGGAAGGAGACTCAACTGTAGGGCCATCACTTGTTAGAAAGCCATGGGGGAATTGCAGGTGTGAGTTTGGAGGGGGGCATTTACTAGCAAGGGGCTGAGGATGGTGGAAGCATCGGTGGTGGGGTGAAGAACACCAGTCAGCACAGCAGGTGTCTTGAGACTAGGGGCCACGGGGATGCCCCGGTGAGCAGAGGCCAGGTTGCATGGCAGACAGGGCAGGCAGGCCCTTGGCCACGGGAAGAGAATTAGAAGGCGGGGTGAATGGTGGGGTCGTGACACCCCCAGCCAAAGTGTTTAGGGAGGAGCCAGCTTCCAATAGGCATTTCGGGCAAACCTGTTCTATCATCGACTGAGCACAAGGAATTGCGGGTTAAAGGACGGTATACAGGTGCCTTTTCTCCTAGACTTCCCTCTCTTTCCTTCTCCCTGTCTTGTTTTAGTTTGTGAAGAAATATTTATTGAGAATCTCTCATGGGGCTGAGCTTCCAGTGGGGCGGCACGGTCATGCCCACACACCATGGCGAATGCATCAGGTGGCGAGGGTGAAAGGAGAGGAAGGGGTCAGGGAAAGCCATCAGGAGATGGACGGGGTGGTCCTGGACAGTGGCTGTCTCCCATGCCGTAGGCCACTGACATGCTGCCCCAGAGGGTGGGGCGTGGGTGTCTGCTCTGGGGGCTGATGGAGCAGACGCCAGGCCGCAGGGCAGAGGGGACCTGGGCACCGAGGATTAAAATCTCCCTCCCTGGCACAGAGCACATTGTAACTCCCTTGCATTTTTGCTCCCATGGTTGCCACGACTCTTGCTACAACATGTGCTCGCCTGATGATGCGGCATTGTTGCGTAAGCCACGCTGGAGTGTGAGTGTCTGTTTGCACATCTGTGTCTCCTTCTGGATGTGAGTGCCATTAATATCGTGAAGTATTCAAATAATACAACAAGGGCTGTTTGCGGAGCTTTCCTATACACAGGCAATTTTGTTTCTACTCCAACCAGTGGAATTGCAGTTCAGAGAGAAGTGTCTTGTTTCATGCAGCCTTGACCTTGAGGTATGCAGCAAAGCTAGGACTCAAACCCAGATCTGCTAGCACCGCTTGGTGCCAGCTGGAGCAATCATGTGACTTGCTGAGGTGATGTGGGGGTTCTGGGGTGACACCCCGATTTTCATGGATGGCTTCTTTGTCAACCTGGTGACCTGGCTGGGGCTGGAAGGGCAGGCCCAGAAATGCATGCCGAGCAACGGAGAGATCTGAGGATGGGATCAGGTCCATGTGAGGGAGGGCAGACAGAGGGGAGCAAGCCTGACAATGAGCTCTGGGCTCCTGGCCCTTCCCTACGCTGGGGCATAGGCCTCAGAGGACATGTGGACTCTAAGTCGTGAATTGGAGGCAGGACACCAGCAGGGTAGGGAGGGATGTGCCAGTGATTGCAACAGTGCCAAGCAGCAAGTGGATCACAGATGAGAAACCACCTTTCCAGACAGACACAAGGAGAGCAGACAGCAAGTGTTCCTAGCCAAGGGGGTGTTTGCAAAAGAAAAACACGAAGAGTTCTTCAGGCCTGAGGAGCAGTCCATAGTTCACCAATGATGGCATCTGTGTGATCTTCAGCACTGCTGCTCCCTCTCTCTGGAAACTCCCTCTCTGGCTTTCCTCCCTCTCTACCCACACATTTCCAGCAAATTTGAACTCAGGTTCAAGTTCCTCACTCTCTTGCTCAGTCAGTAGAAGCTATGTGACTTCCGTGGGACTCAGTTTCCCTATATGCGATGTGGAGGTGGGAACCATCACAGGATCCAGGATGGTGATGTATGTTCTCGGTCCTGCTCACCTGAAGCCCTGTCTGCTCAAATGGGTCTCCCTGAGCAGAGTGAACAGGCATTACACTTCCCAACCTCCTGCTCTCACTTCTTCCCACTTCCCGCTATCCTCAGTCAGGGAAGGATGTTCCAGGACCGAGGTGGGAAGAACAAGAATGACACATCTGGAAGCTGGTCAGGGAGTAGAAGCAGACTGGGAGATAACCAGCTCAGAAAGATGTCCTGTGGGGCTGAGACCAAAGCCACAGCACTAACTTGGGGTCTCCTCACTCGCCTTCCACCGAGGCAGAGGACATGAAATCACAGAGAGGAGATCCAAGAAGTCACCCGGCTGCCAGGACCCTGAGAAAAGAAGTCTCTCGATGGATGCAAGCTCATTCCTCCCCATCCCAGGCCTCTGGGCAGGTGTGAGGGGTAACAGAAGAGGCAGGGCTGAGAGACAAGGCTCGCCCACCCACCCAGAGGCAGGAACGGGCACAGGACTCAAGAGTTCTGGTTTCAGCTCTGCTGTCAACCAGCTCTGAGACCCCAGGTAGGTTGTCCCTCTTTCTGGGCCTTAGTTTCCTGATTGTAGGTTGTAGGATGAATGGAACCTTTAGGAACTTCCAAGTCCAGTCATTCCCACGTCAGATGTTAACTGAGCCTAAACTTGGGTCTCAACAAGAGGCCAGAAGGAGAAGCCACCTTGCCACTTTGCTCCTGTGCAACATAATGCCTTTCTGAGAACTGAATCCACCAATTAATCAGCCACCAGCTCAAGATGGAGCTCTGTCTTTTTTGGCATTAAATTTGCCACCAACCAGCCTCGACGCATGAGCCCCCCCCTACAAAGTGGGCTATCAAGAAGCAGGATCAGGAGTGGAGACTGATTCATCTTAACTAAGCAGTTCATTATCCCGAATGGTGCCATCACTCTCCCCTCTATCTCTGACAGCATTTACACCGCTCCTGTTAAGATACATTTAGCAAAATCACAGGCAATATTTAGGAGTCAGCCCCCTCCCAATGAGGCGATGATAAATATCTCGTCTGTCGGGAAACTCCCCTTGCAATACTCCAGCATAGCTCCCATCCAATTTTCCAGGTCAGAGGGGATGCGTACAGTCAAGAGAGACATAAATTCCAATATGTTGACCAGATGTCCCCATCTGCCCAGGACCAAGAGGTTACCAGGGATAAGAGTGTGCAGTGTAGAACTAAGATGGGTCACCCAAGTTTTGTGTAACACTCCTAAGACTATGGGGAAAGTCTTTGGTAAGTCACTTAAACCACTTCTAAATAAATAAATAAATAAATAAATAAATAAATAAATAAATAAATAA